TTAGACATTAGTTAACCGAATTTAATTTGAAATACGTTTTGCATGCGCTTCAATGCGACAATAACGGAGTTTAATAACTATCTGCAATAAGAATCAGTATTTTATTTTTGTATGTCCCACCGCATGAATAATAAGAATCCAAAATTGACTCTTCGTGAGCAATTACCGCAGCTTAATACTGGGTTAATTACATTAGAAATCAGGAACTGAAAGCGACCAACTAAATTCACCATTCAATTTGTGCAGCGAACTTGCTGTACGAATAACCACAGTCTGGTTACCAACTCGCACAAACCGCGAACTTTTCTACGCAGATCAAATCATAACGTAAAAAAAGTGCGTCCAAATGTCTCTTGGATCAAGAACGTAAACATCTAGACTCGACTTCATCCCAAACATTAAAATAAAAGTAGAATTAAGTAAAAGAACAACACTGATATTTTTCAGTAAATAGATATCGCTATTCTGAATGTAAAATTATAGGTGAAAAACGTTAATACATCAAATAAACTTTCATTTCACTACGGTTTCTGTTAATTGATTCATAAATGTTTACATTTGCATAAACACCCGCAATCTATTTGCAAGTTATAATTAAGTATGAAATTTACATTTTAATGGATTAATTTAGTCGTATATTGATTATTGAAAAGTTCCGTTATACTTGTTTCGATTAACACTGCACACACCGAGTGTAAACGGCGTTCTTGCAACAATTAACAGAAACAATATCTACATATTTATAACACCCATTGCAATAAGTTTTATATAATTAGTACTACTATATTTGCATCTGTTTAAAAAATACGACCTAACAAACATTAGGAAATTGATTGTCACATACGCTCCAATAAGTATTGTACAATCTATGTTTCGTAAGGTTGTTTAGAATGTTTACATTATATAGTACACGAAATGTCAACACAAACGGTATCAGCATATTAAACTGAAACAGACTAATCGGCTGTAATCTAAAATATTTAAACAAATAAACCAATTAGATTAAATATTTAAACAAATAAACCAACGACGTTCCTGACGTTCTAAATAAACGAAGATTAATTGTCGAAAAGATCATCGATAAATGTGGTGAAAGAGAAATTTAAAAAAAAAATTGGTATCTGCGAATGATAAATGAATACACCAACCAACTGGTAATTCGTAAAATAAAAGAGAATTTGAGAATAAATGTATAAAGAGCCGTTTATTTTGAAAGTGTATAATACTCCCTCCATTTACGCGGAATATTCGTTCCACGTGAATTCACAAATAAAGTTTGTCAGTACAAAAGGAGACAAAATATTGGAGAAAAACGCTGATATAAGTTTTAGAAATACATATTTCTTTCGCATAGTTTAAGAAGAAAGTAATAATAATGACGTTTCAGAAAATAGAAGTACGTTCTTTCCGGTGTCTCCAAATTCAAATCGCCCAAATCAATATCGCATGCAAACAAATTTATCTAAAATAGTATAAAGATATTAAGAACGAGTTTATGTACAGTGATGTTCGTTGAGCTGAGACTCGGTCGAGCGTAGGTGTACCGAGTAGATCTTTGAAAACGATATTTTCAAAAACGAAGTCTCAAATGAAAAACATTCACTGTATATTTTCGACTTGGTTTTTGACATAGAATCAACCCCTGGCCGGTTGTGCTATTAGTTACATAACGTCCTGTATATCGCGACGTGCAAAACACAAAAACAGAAATTTACAGCGGAGTGTAGGTCGCAGTAAAGGATCAGTCAGAGTTTGGTGTAGTGTGAGTGTGAGCGGCATTACGTTTCTTTGTTTTAACAACGGTATCATAAATCACGGTGAGTAAATTGATATTCTGAAAAACTATATCCCAGCGGGTACAAAGAAAATGGAATTACAAAACAATTTTACCCTTATGCACGATAATAATTTGGAGGATACTGCTCGCAAAACAGTGGATCGTATATAATATCTAGAAATAATTGGAAATTTCGCCACAGTTTACAGATATAATCAAAACTTAGCATTAACCGTACATTTTCAAAAAAATAATGTGAAAAAGCGCTTCTAAAAGAATTAAAGCTGCATCAAGTATTAAATTACCCAGTAACTGAATTTTTCCACGCTTGTGCATCAGATTATACACATTTTATGAAGTTAAAAGTATAATAATACGTATTGTACCTATATTTCCATCGATTTTTGAATTTCCGTCAACATGTTTATAACAGACGCAAGTACTTTTATACCAATCAGGTGCAATTTATTATAATAAGTTCTCCAAATGTGTTAATATTCTTCGCTGTATAAAAACTGTATGATAAATGAAACTGTACAAATATTCTCTAGGAATGATTCTATTAATATATTTATTTAATTTATCATAATTTATTGATCCCGTTCAAAAAATCATCATCTATCACGAAATGAATGTTAGAAGCAATAATGATCGACAAAATCATCTAAAAATGTAAACGTGTTGCGAATAGGTATTTTTGAACACCTAGAAAACTAATAAAAATTCCCAAAATGGCTCAAATCAACATGCTATATTATTCAGCTCTCGAATGTACATTTTCTAGAAGCCAACGCCGTTTTCAGAATGAAATATATGAAGACAGTTGCAACGTGCCGCGCCTGAAGATTTCCTGAAGACTTCCGTCTGCCTGGAGGCGATCGTAGGGTTCGTCTCTTAAAATTGAAAACTTCGTAACAGAAAAATCGGTCCTTTGTCCTCAAGGTATCACTCAAGGGTCAGGAAAGAAGCGGGGAGCAGACTTTATTTAATCGAATTGTCAGAATATTTCTTTGATAAGTCGTTTAACTTGTACCGAAGTAACCGATATGTGGAGGATGCATTCAAAGAAATTCAACGGAAAGGAATTTTTAATAGCTACGAAGCGAAACATCTAGAATTATACGCATAATCCGGTCATTTTCCTACAGTTTTTTTTTTATTCTCCCTTGGCTCCAGATAGATAATACAGCGCCGCGTTCTCGAGCATGTAACTATCACCTACATCGGCCGGTGGTCCCTAATTGGCACTTCCGGTGGCGGTAATTTTACGATTTACACTCCGAAGAGGAACTCTCATACTCGATCAAACAGGAAAACTTCTTGCCAGCCCTTCGCAAAAACGAATAAAAGTTGCTGATTATAAATTCCACGAACCTGTAGCGATAAGATAATTGTTTTGGAAACTGCAATTCACAGAATAATATTCGATACTGCATCGTTGTCGTGTCCTATGATACCTACTTGGAAATGAACGATACGTCTTTATGATACGATACGATATCGATGAATTCGTACAACTGAAATGAATGATAACCAAACGTTTTATTAACGATGGCAAATTTAATATCTGTGCACAATGTTGTAATGAATCTTATAATGTAGAAACAAATGGAGATTTTTTAGGACAATGTAACTGTATAAAATAATTTAACTCTGGAACGAACAAGATAGGTATTAAGCTTGTGTATATCTAAAGAATACCTTTTCCATTATTTCTTACTTTATATTACTTAACACTTTTTCTCGTCAGTAATTATTTAATAATTTTTTAAAACTATGAACTAACAACTAACAATTCCTTACAGTGTTTGATAACAATGAACCGAGAGTCCATTTTAAATATCATGATATAATAATTCGTTTTAGAGTAACCGCTTAAAAGACGTTTACTGTATTCTTAAACATATTACAGATTTTCGAAATACGACGACACGTCCAAATATTAAAAGTTATCGGACCTAATATAAAAGAGATGAAAAAATTATTATTTAACAATTTCTTAAGGTTTCGTTATTACGTTCATATATAATAAAATATATAATAAAATACCTAGTAGGTCAAGGATGTCACAATGAGAAACCGTATTATTGGATTTTGAAAATTTATTTTAATATTTCTTACTTTTCCTCTATAATTGAATATTTCTTTAATACAGCACATCAGTCTTCAGACGAAAATAAAGAAAATTTTGAAGACAAATTAGTATTCCCTACAGAGTAATACCTCCAAACTCAACTTTTAGCTAAAAGAATAGTGTATATATAGCTTCTTCTGAAAGATCAAGCATGAATTAGTCACGGAGGCTGCTGACTAATGGAACCGCATAGCAACGCGGGAAATTCTGTAGAAAACCTCTTTCGTCCTGAACACTATCCTCGTTGTGTCATTATTCGGAGCAGTCGCAAACACATTTACATGCGTTCATTAACTGTACTCCTACAATTCATTAAAAACATCTTCTAAAAAGAAAATATAAAAATGTACCCCACAACATTCAAGGAATAATGGCTGAAACTAAGTGACATACGATCATCTGACCAAAATCCTTTGATCCCGTTACGGAAGAAAACAACAAAAATGTTGAATCATTTCGATTTCGTTGAAAACAATTAAACTGGTCGCTATATGTGGGTTCATTATTTTATAGTTTCATACGCTAAACATATAACAATGACAGCACAATAAGACAACAGTTTCCATGCATTTAAGAAACATTTCTACATTTTCGAAAAGCGGACTGTATGTATGCATACACTTATGCCTTTCGTTTCAGACATATCACACGGAAACGCGCGAAACACACTGGCGTGAAAGGATGATTCATGAGATGCAGGATGAGTGGGGTCGAGAGGAAGAGAGAGAGTACGAGAGAAATAGGAAGAGCTAGAGAGAGCGAGAGCGAGAGGAAGAGGGGGGAGAGAGAAAGAGAGAGAGAGAAAGAGACAGAAAGAGACGGAGAGAGAGAAAGAGAGAGAGAAAGATATGGTCACACACGCAGAACACGCGCGACACACAGATGTGCGCGTATGCATATGACGTCTAGAGCTAAAAGCACATTTCACGGGCCAGATGTTCGTCGGGACGGGTAGCGGCGGATTGTCACGCGAAACACATCGTATGCATCAATGGAGGAAACTCTACTGGAAGATCGTATGTGCTTCGGATAAAAGGGGGAACAGAAACAGTAGAGGATAAAGGCACAACTAAAAATTCGTGGACTTACCGCTCTCGATATAAGGAACCAGCAACAGCAGCAGCAGAAATGGAACGTATCCACACGTATCACTGATCATTGTAACCATATTCTCTCGCACAGTTAAAAGCCACTGTTCCGGGGTTAGGTTATTAGCACCACTTCGCGGGTACGCGCGGACAACAATAAACAAAACAACAACGCGACGACGCAAGGAAGTAGCGGGTAGGTAACAGTCACGATAGGGCACAGGGGAACGAGATGCGTCGACGGGCGACGGAACGCTCGCGCGTTATATATGCGGGAAGTAGAAGAGCGGAGGTTCACGGTACGCGCGATGATCAAAGACGCACCGATGTTACGAGTATATTCACTATGTAGCCCGCGTGCCGACCGGACAGCATAGCACACACTCGATCCTGTTTTCACTGACCTTACTTTGTAAACGCGTTCCGTTGTTCGCGCGCGCGACTTTTCGGAGCAGCCGAATCATATGCGTAGCACGGGAGCTCGGATGGGAAAATGACGGACCAGGGGAGCACACGATACACGGCACACGGCACACGGCACGCCTCGGTTCGAAACTGACGAACTTACGCCATCGTTTACCAAGAATATTATCACTTTCACGCAAACGGTCCTTACCATCGACGATCCGCCCCTCGTAACCTTTTTTTCCCCCTTTTTCCTGTCGCACGGTACTGCTCTGACTCCGATATTTTATTTACTTTCGGTATTTACTACACCGCTACTCTTTCCTCGGCACTGTCCCCCGAACGATGCACCAGCTGACCACTGCTTTTCTCACACTCTTTTACCTGTCGATTCGAGATTTAGGAAACGCATTGCAGCAGCAACAAAACACACGCACGACGTCGGCCAGTCGCCACCATCGCCACTGGCAGTCCTGCCACTGCTGGAGTCCCGACTTCCCTGCCATGTTCGCAGTCTGTTTTTCTTTCGTTTCACGCTGTCCCGCCAGGTGGCGATATTTACCGTTCTGCCGAGGAGCCATTGCTCTCCAGCAACGACATCGTGCGTCATCGTTCAGCAACGCGGTTTCAATTCGAGCATTGATCTAACCGGAGATTATTTGGATATTGTTTATATGTGCTTTTAGCGAATTTACATTCTGCGTGCGATTGTAATAGTATTTCCAGGTTAGACATTTTCTTGGTACTATTCAATTGCTGGTATTATTATTATAATGTTGTAAAATGATGTGAAATTTGATCAAATTTCCTGTAGGTAATTTACCCAATTACAGCTGTTTCTGCTTTAGTTATGTTTTAATGTTTTATCATTTATCTTTGTTACCATTTCAGTATAATTATTTCAAGGAGGTAAAAATAAAAGATAAAAATGTTCAGCGCTGAATTGTACGATTTTATGTCTATTAATACTTTAAACTAGTTATCGTGTGCCATTTACATTAATTCTCCGTTGAAATGGACTAATCGCGTGAAAAAATGACAGAAAAATTGTTTGATTTTTTTCAAAATCATATATCAGTTGATACATTAATACAATGCGAAAATTTGAAATAAAAATGATTAGACACACATCTGGTAATATACGTTTAGGAAGAAGAATTTTCAATATGTTTATAGAAATAATTTTACTTGTATTCAATTATGTCTTCATAGCTTTCCGAAATTATTATTCTCACCAAAACTATTCAATTCGAATTGAATTATTTTTGAAACGCTCTATTCATAGTTTTGAAATGTAGATCGAAGGTTTTTTTAGGGAATTTGTGTTTATATAGGTTACGCGCCTTTCAGCAACCAAAAACCCGGGAGTTTCAAACCCTAAACACGGACTAAATTCTTATATTACCAAATTGCTTACCACAAAAGTTTTACTTGTTATTCAAAATAAAATCAATATATTAAATATTGCAATAAACAAATTATAATTCCGAAGTTTATAATGCATTTATTTCTGCACTCGTTTAAAAATGCAATATGACAGAATTAACCTTCATTTCCTAATGAAATTAACCTGTAGCAACTTTTTTGAAATTAAAGAATGTTTATTAGTTTCTTTGATAAAAATTTATCGCGTTTCTTGTTAACATTCGATGCAAGTGTACATTAGAACACAAATGTTTCAAAGTCATTTGGTAATATGAAAAAATGCAAAACACATACACTTCAGAGGAAACCGTTACTCCGAACAAATTTACAAATATAAATAAACATCCTAAAAATATAGCGCACAAGAAAAAGCATAAAAATAATCAGAAGCGCGCTCACGTCGTTTCTGGAGAAGAGATTACTGTTGATCATACAAGTATGTCAATCATGTTATAAATAATTACAGTTTGTCTGTTTCAGTTGAACATTAATTACATTTTATGACAGTACAGCCAACATCTGCGAAGTATCAAGAGTCAAAGGGGCATAAAGCACACACGGGCGCTGCTTCAAGCTCTCAAACTGGAAATAAATCTAACCCAGTGAAAACATTTTTCCTCTGGATAACTCAATGTTGCAGGGCACCGCAACGCAGAAACGCTGCCAAACGGACGAAAAATTTTTGGAAGCGTGTAAAGGATAGAGTGAAAAGGTGTACAAGGAAAAAGAAATCGAGTGATATTGCTGACCAAAGCAGTACTGCAACCACAAAGGACTCACATCCAGAGGCCAGCGAAACTGCAGATAGAAAACATAGTAAAACTAAAAGGTCAAAACAAGGAAGAAAGAAAGTTACATCGGATACTTCCATTAGGAGTCCTATACGTCCAGCAGATGAGAAAGAAGAAGTCATTAAGGATCACGTTCTAGAAAAGGGTTTCCCCGATTTTACAAAAAGTTGTTGTTACATGTGTGCCAATGCAATGACAATCACTGGTATGATATCTAACAAAATTGACAAATCACATATATCGATACAAACTTCTAGTTCTGTCAAAGAAACAGTGGATAAGGGTAGTAGCCCGGTTTCTTATGTTCGAACAGTACAGTCCTCCGTTAAAGTGAAAATACGTAACGTTGGAACTAATTTTCCGGACGATAAAAAAGCCAAGAAAACGAAAATGAGACCCAAATTGAAACTGAAAAATCTGAAGGAAACAATTTTACCGAAACTACCGAAAGTTCCGAGTATGCCAAAAATGCCAAAAATGCCTAAACTTCCACAGGCTCCGAAATTTTCAAAGCAGCCACGGACACGAACGGTTGCTTGTGCAACAGACACATCGACGAAATATACAAACACTCCGCAATGTATGGCGAGACGTGGAACTCAATGTGTACGGGAAACTAAGTAATATTCCTTTTTCGGTCAATGTACTGTAATTGTATCTGTAATTTGACAAAACTGTTAAGAATCCGAACTCTGTTTCCATATTGTAAATAAACATTTTATTAAGACACGAACAAAATCTGCAGAGGGTTAATAGAACTTATTAAAAACAGGAGTGCCCTTAGTGGTTATTCTCCTACAATATTAATACGTTTTCTATTGTGTTATGTCAACACTGTGAACTTAAAACTGTGAGGCTTTACGAAAATAACAAACAACTGAATGACAACGGATTCCCGAAATTTTTGTAGCAACCTACGTATTGTTGGTAAAGTTACCTATACGCTGTCTGACTTATATCCCACCATCTTTTTCACGTGTAGTGTAGTCATCGTTTTATCATTCATTTTACACTATTCCGTTAAAAATATTACACTAGGAATAAGAAATTTTACAAGAATAAAACATAAACAACGAACAATGACCTGATTTTTTCACAGAAAACAAAACCTAATTAAAAATTCCATCTTAAATTCTATCTAAATTATTTGCATTATGTGGGTCGGTAATGCTTCAGGAAATTAATGGTTATATATATGGTAGTCGGTATGGAAATATTAATGAATTATATGTGTGATTATCTTTCCTTATTAGAATAAAATTATTAAAAGATTATCAAAGATCGAGATCTCCTTTGAACTTCGAAAGCCTGAAGGTAGTCAAGATCGCCTACCGTTTTTAACCCACCCCTGAAAATGTGCATCATTTTTTCACATATAGAATGTTTGGTAACAAGTGGAGGAAAGTTTAAAGAATAGTTTGTCATGGTAATATAAAGCAAAAATCACGAGTAAAACAAGGCTTTCAGCATCGTTTCTAAAGTATTTATAATTAAAACCTACCAAAAGCGGACCTGTTTCATGGTTCTAACGTGTTCTACGTGCGCAATTGTTATCAAATTTTTATAGTGTAGAGAAATTTTTAAATCAGATATTATTTTTCTGCACTTTTCATAAAAGCAGAAAATAATCCTTCGACAATGATTCACGTTATGTAAATAAAGATTTTATTCCAATTGTAATTCAATAGAAATATTTGTAGAATTTAAAATAATATAAAAAAGACCACTAAATATAAATGAACAATGAGACATTATTCAAAATTGTACATCTAATTTATTCATAAATCTTTTTAGCTAAACTTTCATACGAATGTTGAAAATAATGCTAAATAAGATAAAACAAGTGTGTCATATCTGTAATGATCTTTAAAATGTTTGTCGAGATAAAAATTAAGTCTTATTGCTCGAAATTAATCTAATTCCTGTTATTTAGTTAAACATCTAACCGTTTTAATGTTAATGTACTGAAAATACAGGATTAAACTAAATATACAATTGATGATTAAAAACGTTTCCGTATCTAGTATATAATATTTCTTTGTTTTACAGAAGTTATTTCATTGTTCTATTTATATAAATAGTAAAATATTTTATACAGTTTAGTTATATGGAGATTTACTAATGGTTATTTATGTACTAATTTAAATTTAAATTATCTATTTAATATCATCACACTATAAAATACACTCTTCTATCGTACATAACACAAATAATTATGCTTTCTGAAGCGTCGCCTCATGTACGATTATTGAATTCTCAATGGCACGACTTTTAAATTTAATTCTTCGTTATTAAACACCCAATAAATGTATTTAAGAAAACAATAGAAATTGCTTGGTCAATATTAAGTGTATTTATCATCGCCGCTACTTTATATACATACCTAAAACATTCATATTGTTAAATATACAATGTGTCTCATACATTTCTGATAACTTAATATTCACATTTTATATAGCCATTTTTTCTACTTGAACTTATTAAATTAAATGTTTTTGACTGTAATTTAATTAAAAAACCTATTTTCCATAGTTGGTATAGTCACATTTTTAATACACTTCGGCGTCACGCGATTCACGGTCGGCTAAGTAGTGCGAATCGATATCAGTTCAGACAGTATCTGGAGACGATACCACAGGTCGTGACGATATCGTTGCCACGTTCACGTTAGCGTCATCTGATGTTGGATTCCCAAACACCAGGGGTGAAGTGTAATACGGCAACAGAGGGTACTGTGTTGGTGGGAAATACGGAGGTGGAAACAGCCCCTGTCTCTGAGCAATTTTCAGCCTCGAGGTAAGTTGTTTCTTCCATTTGGTACGCCGATTTTGGAACCATGTCTTAATCTGCACTTCCGTGAGATTCAGTGATTTCGACAGTTCCATTCTTTTGCTCACGCTCAAATACTTGTCAATCTGAAATGAAAGTTCGATTTCCAATTATACAAATAGTATAAGTACATATCTCATAAGATGAACATTTTTATACGCTAATCAAATCGAATTACGAATATTCGTAATATTGTTTTATTCCTACAATTCGAAGAATTTTCTTCTGAAACACCCTATATGTAAACATAACTTGTTTTTATTCTTTTAACTATTAAAGCCTCTTTGAAAGCGCCACAACTACTTGAAAATTGAATTCTCACGTCAAAATTATAATATTTCATGCTAAATCGCTATACTTAGAATTTGTTTGATCAAATGAGTGAAAATGTTTAACTGATTGATTGAACATAGAGTGGAGCAAACGGAAGAATTTGTGGAGTGAGAAATATTCGATACAAATAATTGTAGTTCATAAATGAATGATATCACTTTAACCTATTTTGCTCAATTTTACTAATAGCACATTCTTTCCGTGTATATGATCCCCTCGCACTCATATAAGTACATATATTTATTAAATAAGTGTTTAGCAATATCCTCAAAAAATTTGAATATATTTTTTAAGGATGTTTTTCATAAGAAAATACCATTTTCTTTAAATTAAAAGATAATTGTTTGCCTGACAAAATGAATTAATGAATATTATGGAATATTTACTTCAATAATCAGTAACTAATATAAATAAACATTTATAAATGTAGTATTTTAATATTAACTCATAACAGTGTAATAAATACAACGAAGTTGAATAATAGACTTTTAAGATTGATGTTTTCTCAATAAAAGAAATTCTATTCAATGTATCATGTTCAGTTATTTGTATAATGTTTTAGCGACTCAATTTAAAAGTATAGGATGAAAAATAATGAGACAACTTTGTGAGAAAAAAACTTTCCATAAATGTTACTGGTAACAGTACGCCTGTTAATGAAATAATTATAAAGATGTAAAGTGTAAAAACGATAAAAATATATTTGAAACACACTATGATGTATTTGTCCATGAAAACTTTTTATATTGACGAAACGTCGAATATCGCAAACAACTCTTAAAATAAGAATAACAGAACATATCTTATGAATTGATGAAAAATATAGCAAAGTTAATACTTACATTATTTTGTGAATAGCCTATGAGAAATAAACTTTATTTCTTTATATTTAAACTAAATGATACTCAAGTAAAATACGTTAGACATGAATGCTACAGGTACATATATTTATAAAATAGAAATACTTAAGGATATCTTCAGTAATAAAAACTTCACTCTAATATTGTTACCTATATGCATTTTATATACGTCAACATACCTTGAATTCTGCTTCAAGTCTTTCCAATTGTTTCGCGCTGTATGCTTGTCGAGGTTTTCGATCGATTCCCGGCTTCCTGGACCGTCTCCCACTTGGTTTAGGCGCTACACAAAAATAACAAAATGAGTAACATTGAATCGCATTACGTATACATTAGGCGCGAGATAGACAGATTTGAAGGTAAACTGAAAAGTTTCAACGAAGTTAAATATTACTTGAATAGCACCTCCGCGGGAATGACATTTCACAGGGAAAGACCTTCCTGAAGATTTACGACCGCGATAATAAAAATTTAACATTATAATCATGCCTCTTAATTGTTCGGCCAACTTCGTCAGCTTGTACTCAATTACCACTTTCTCCGGTTCGGTCTACTCATTGGACCACGTCTAGAGTTACTGAGCGTGTCTAAAACATGTGGGATTGTTTGAGGAACGTGTGACATCTTACAGTCAATATAAAGCAGAATGTGGTAAAGAGTTGGACAAACAGTTTATACCGAGGAACGTTTGGCTGCGATTATCATTATGGTGCAAAGAAGTTCCACACATTTCCGTTCAAGGGGTTATATGAGGTATTATACCGTTGTTAGTCGCATTTAGATAACACGACACTGCGGTGTCCCTTGTATAAAAAATTGGCCTTTATTATCATACTTACGCTCAACGAGTCATAAGTATTGTGGTGCATTTTGCAATGGCAATTATTATTTTTAGCAGTCTTTCATTTTTATTAAGTGGCTATGTTGTGAAATTGGAAAATTGCTTTTTAAATTTATCGAAGAATAGTTTTATTCGAAGTCTTTGGATTGATATCGTGTAATTTAGATTTAGGAATTTTAAGTTACTTTTCTTATATTTTGTACTTATTTTTTTGCGGCTGTAAATAGTTTTAAAAATTATTCTATTACTTACATTATTAAATTCTAATGATCACGACGATTTCATATAGAATTGAAAATGTTTATTTGTGTCTAGTACTCGGTTTGTTGTCTAGTCCTTAATTTCTAGTCCACTAAATATCGCATTTCTATGATGTAATAAATAATTATTATTACACTTGCGCACAAAATTCTTTAATGAACATTATTTTCGTTATATTATTTTCGAAGATTTTTTTCAGATGCATTATTCATTATACATTTCCACCGCTACTACCTCCTGTATAAAGTAACTAAATGAAAAATTACTGTTATAATTTTTTAAATGTTTAAATAACTGCAATATTATAAATTCTAAAAATAAGAAATTAGAAGGATAGGTAATATTTTCAAAATTTGTCATAAAATATGGTTTTGAAATATATTTAACAATGACTTTTTATAAAATGTAACAGATGATACTAATTGTTCAAAAGTTTTTCGTCGTAGAATTTTATCTTAAATTTTTGTGAGCTACACGAAAAACGAAAATTCATTATAAATGTAGATTTTAATTCGTTTGTATAAATTAATCCAGACGAATTTGTCGCGCAAATTGATTATATTCTCCAGAAGATGGGAGACTACTGGTCAAGGAGGGAACTTTTTGATGAAGAAGAAAAACCGGCAGAACCAAGATTTACGAGTGTACGGACACATTTAGCACATTTCTGGAAGGTGGTTAGAGTAACGTCGCTGATAAATGGGCTCCTAACAGCATGGCGGATAGTAGCGAAAGAAGAGAAATAACAATGGCGGATTGAAATCTCCAACGAATATTATTCATGTTTTCTATACTTGCCGGTTTCGGAAATGGTTAAAACACTTCTTAGTGCACAACTGATATCGTGAATATTTGTTTAAAATTATTAATGACGAAGAAAAGTTTATATAAACATTATACATACACATATCCAGTTACAATCTGCATATAGTATCAAAATTCTCATGTCCTGTTTTTCATTTAAACGATTAATTTCATATTAACGAGTACCGATGAAATATTTTTTCACGCTTATTATGAGTTTAATCAACGTTTATTGCTCGTTCAAATTCTAATCTAAATTTTTAAAGTTTAAAATACTTCAAACTTGTTATTGTACATCACAGCATCTTAATATCTTTGAAAGTTAATAGAATTTCATTCCTTTCGTCGACACGCAAGAAATGATATCAAGAACAGAATAAATCTTTTCGGAAATATTACACATACATATTTTCATATATTTCTACAGAATATTTTCAGAAACAATACACACACACATGCTACTCGAACGAAAAAAGATACTGCACTAGATGCATGCCAGAAGATGAAGAAACACAGTAAAATGTGCACGCAGTTTGCATGAAAATTATCTATCAACGTTTGTAGAATCCTTCAGTGTTGTTTCTAAGAACTAATTCAAACCTTGTTCACAAATAACGCTAATTATTGTATAATTTACTCCACTATAATTTATTCTAAAACGAATGGGTGATGAATCACGTTAACTAAATATTTTATATAGCAGCTAACATATCGAAATTAAGGGGATACAACACCCCAGCTGTTAATGCGACGTTCGCGTGTCGAAAAGCTGTTACCGCAGACGCCTCGAGTAATGTCCAATATTCCCCACAGCCGAGAAAGAATACGACGATTTTGCTTTTCTCTGCATTGTTCGCGAAAATGGGATTACGACGATAAGTTATTGCGAGCAGATAATTAGAGTCTTTTGTCGTGGTAAAAGGGAAACGTACGCGATTCTGTTACTTCAAAGAAGGCGTAGAACGTTTTATATATTTCCATGAAATACGAAGAAAGAAAATCTAGCCACCATATAATAAGAACTACGCGAGAAGGCATTTATTGTTACCATTTAAATTTGTGAAATATCATTATTGATGTCTCATAACTTCTGATTCTTCTTACGAAAATATAATGTGATTGTCTAGTTCACATGTTTACCTAAATTCATGTGCTTAATATTTAATCTGTGTGCGGGTCAAATCCAAATGCGTTATTTATTTATTTGAGTTTGTAATTAGAAGCTAATAATATATTATTCTTGGAATTAAGTTAGTAGAAATATTCTTTAAGTTGTTTCATATACTACCGACTATTGATCTCACTATTTATTTTGATTTTATGTAGTGTGTATTACATTGCGAATTTAATGTTCATTACTTGTAATTACACTGGTCTAGAAAATTTAACTTTCTTTTTGTCATAGAATCTGTAATAAGTGATCTTAATAGTATTTCTTATGTTAAACACGAATATGCAATCCATTTTTCTCCATTGTTCACAGTTTTTGAAAAAATCACTTTTTTAACTTCGAACATTTATTGTGTCTTAATTACGACAATTTCTTAAACTTTTCTTACACAATATCATTCTAGGGATCTTCTTGAATACTATCATGTAGATTTTAATGGCATTGTAGACGTTTAAACATGTTTAAACAATGCTGAAAGGCAAAACGGCACACGAAACGCACTAATCTTTGCGGATATTTTCAATTTATTTCAAAAACTAAGACTTTGGGAGAAAATTTAATTTCAGCATGCGATAGAGCAAGCATCTACCTTGCGGAATCCGTGATAAAAGTTCCGTGACGCATTTAGTTTTCAATGATAAATAGTTGCGCGAAACATAAAGTACCAACAGTGATGCTCAATGTCAACGCGTGTCTCTCCTGATGCGCATTGCTACCACAGCTATTCGATTTATATGCGTTGGCATTGAGCATCACTGTTAGTACCTTACATTTCGCGTATTAGCATGATTGTGTACAGGAAGGTTCATAGAATAATACTGTGCAACGAAAGTTTCACAAATTTTCATAATTGAAACACAACAAAGAATGAAAGTTGGAAAATTGAGTTCCTTCTGAAAACAGATTTTCGTAAAAACTGTGGATGGTAGAGAAAACTGGATCGCATATTCGAATTCAACATAAGAAACGCAGAAATCTTCTGTGACAAAAATCGTGTTAGCCAATGTTATTAATAAGATGCATAGACTTGCCTTGCAAACCAAACAATTGGCCAGGTTTCGTTTGAGTGAACCAACTGTTGTATAAAAGGGATGCAGAAGCGAAAGATGTTGCTGAATATCCAGACGGATCTGCAAATGTAACTTCAGAATATGACAAACCCGTCGGCCCATATAGTCCCATATCTGTAACATAATAAATTGTTCTTTAAAATATAAAAATCTAGCGTATCTGATGTGATATTGTTAGATAAATACATATATCTAGCACATTTCGTATTTATTATATTAACCTACACAAAGAAATTAACTCATTTTTGATAAAGTGTGAGGGAAAAAATTATTGTATCAACAATTAATATTATAGAAAAACATCAGCTTTTTATATTGTTATTTATACAATATTTATATAGTATATATTATTATATAAATTGATAACTGATATGTTCATTTTGGCGGGATTATACTGAAATATAGTAGTTTCAAACATGTTTATAATGCGAGAATAAAAATTTCTTAGTATATCATGTAACGTTACAACAAAATTTCATACGTAAAAGTTAATAATAAATATTCTGCTGTCAGTATAATCCATTAACAAATTCAACAGTGATATATTTGTGTATATTGTTTCGTAGTATAAATTATACCTGAATGCATAGCAGGAATCGCCGTTGGTTTAATAAACTGTATTTCTTCTGCTTTCTCGTCCCTTTCGTCCTGCTCCTCGTCCTTGTCTTCCGAATTATTATAACTAGATGACACTTCCGCATCTTTTTCTTCGTGCCTTCCAAGAATATTGTCAATCGTGAATGCACTAGACACAACAATTGCGGGTGAAGTTTTCCGTTCAATTTGATTCCTGTGAATCTCCTTGTAGCTTTCATTGCTAGAATCGGATGCGTATTCCATTGTGTCTCGATGATTATTAAAAACCTTCAGGACTCTTTCGCGATCTTCTTTGGTCTGTTCATACGTATTATCAACAAATTCGATACTGTCAATGCTTCGTGATGCAGATGTTTGCCGAAGATCATAAATCTCATCGTTCACATTGTGATTCTGATAAGGTTCCATCGCCAATAATTTTATTGCACATCCTACCTCGACTTTCTAAATGACAAACCCCACTTCAATTATCTATCCATGCACTTTCAAATAAACTTGCAATCGAAGCCTGTTCAACGTAAGAGAATTAAATCTCACGTCAATTTTCAGGTATAATCACAATTATTTTTCAAGATTACATTGCGTTGCACTCTCATCTCTCCCTGAAAGTGGTCTGTTATCCATTTTGTCTTCAATGGAACACACTAATTTATTCATTTTTTATCACTATCTTGGAAAACCGATCTAAAATACTGTTTTCTACGAGCGATGGAAGCCTCGCATTCATTTGATCACCGGAACACGATATTCTATCAGTTTACCTCGCACCAATCTCTTGGTGGCATTTCGACTAATCTCCCTCTCAACCTTCCGAAAGCAAGTACTTCCAAATGTATGACAGGTGGCACGTGTCCGTGGTCCAGAAGGACCTCCCAGCTTCCCCACCATCGGTTTGTGAGGGAAGGTCATCCTATGAAGCTGGAAGAGCATCTCGCTGCAAAGACTCCCCACCCTCGCACTCCCACTCGTATCTGTTTCTTGATCGGAGTAGGGGTCAAAAGCTTATTCACACTGCTTTAACGTTACTTTACTATAATAGGCACGATAAATCGATAGGATGCTTACTCTCGCGTTAAAAATTATTCTTCCTGTTGAAACAATTTTAAAGGATTGAAAACAGTTCCTTCGGCGTCCAGTCATGTTTTCTGCTGAAATTGGAGTGAGGAAACTAAATTTTTCGAAATACGTTATCGAGGAGACCCTAGTTACGTTATTAAGGTATTTATACAAATAGTATAACCATATATAAATGCAATTTATAAATATAATGTGAAAAGTATGAACAGTCAAAGTATGGCTGTGAGGTAAATTTTCGCAGCTATTTTCTTTAAATAACTATTTTTACACTATATTTTTTGTAAACTCAAGACTACCTTTCCTGTTTTGCTCTTAAAATTTTCTTCTTAACAATATGAAATACGATGTATAATAATTACGTTCTTATATTATTCCTAACTACATAAGTTTATATACTAAGTACTAAAGCTTAAGAGTCCACGTATGTTTATACAGATATGACATTGTTAACCCCTTGTTTTATTATATCTACTCAAGATCATACTGAAGACTTTACGTCAAACTTCATAAACATAAATATCATTTATTTCATACTGCTTGAAGAAAAATAGGTACTATTATTTCCTTACGAAGGTTTAACGCCTACTGTGAATTTACTTCTACAATAAATATTTGTGCAAATTTTTCTTTTGCTGTGAAATGATTAATATTGAAACAATTCTTGGAAGCCTAACCAGGAAAAAGAATCACAAGACAAGAAGTTAACGTAGCTTTATTCTCTACTGCGTTATTGTAATATGGTTCGACTTTATCGAATTATGGCTATCATTTGTACGTGTATTATTGGATATTTCTGAGAGTACAGTGGCATACCATCATGATATGCGCAGTAGCGAACTTCATTCGCCGAAAAAGAGTTCATCAAGGATCAGTAAGGAGGTCTCCGATTGGTGCCTACAGGCGCATGCTCTTCCAAAACGTCCGCCTTCTTCGACCCCTCTATTTCAGGGCTTTATGTCAGCAAACTAATGGTTCCTTCTTCTCTATCCCATATACACTCCGGCAATGGATAAACGTTTCTGCCATACGAAGAACGCTATGAAAAAGTACCGCAAAATACTTCTTCACACGTTTACTAAACTCCGTTCAGTGGTTCTCATGAGCACGTATAGATAATTTTGGTAAATTTACGATACAAGTGAAAAATATGCTTACCGTTTACTTGTACATATTAACCATTTACGATCGGCACATTTTTCTAGCGACAGTATCAACTAGTCGAAGCAAAGTTATTTTCGAAGTTATTTTTCTATGGGTAGTTTACAATAAATATATGAATATTAAAAATTTGTTGAAGTTAATGCGTTTTGTAGAATGTATATTTTGTAAAGAATAACAAATATAATACCTCTCGATCGTAAAATAACACTGTATTCAGAAAAAAAGAACATGCCGCCATATTGGCGACGCCGATTTCGAAAACAAATGTTAATTGTCGGCACTATGGCGGCACCGATGGCAAAGGGTTAACCAGTTAACTGCGTTCGACGGATACACACGTCACCTTAAAATCAAAATGATACTAATTTTTTCAAGGATAAATTATTTACTTTTTCAGATAAATATGTAATCCTTGTTTGTTTTGCTTTAGCTTTTCATTCGAATCTATTATAGGTGCATTTGACCTGCGTTAGACGAGTATATACTTCGTTAGTTGATTTAGAGATTCTCAATTGAAATCTGACGATTATGCTGTGATAGTTATTCAATTTTGTCAACTTCTTTTTCTACAGGAATATTTTATTTATTGAATCTATTTGTCAATTTATATTGGATGCATCTGCTTCTCTTGTTATATATTAATTGAAATCTTAAATTATCGAATCATGTAATACCTTCTCAAACTATTATACCAATGGTTTGTTTATAGATTGCTTAACGAATAGTTTACGTTCTTTTCTGACTCTTTAAAGTAAAGAAAATTTCTTTTTCGCAATATCATTTTTAAATCCACTTTTATTCTACGTATATTTTATTGAATTAAATTATCAACAGAATAAAAATATCTGATATGAACATTTTCACATTCTTTTAGCTTCTATTATGCAATTATTATCGACGTTGTATAATATTTTAAAAGGAAATAATTTAATTGCAATTTTCGAATAATAAACACGCATTTCTTTATCTATACCGACATACTGTATTAAAGAATTTTTAAAAAACATTTAAAAGTTCAAGATTCCCACAAATTTTTATTGTGATAAACATATTTTATTGCTGACGCAATATATTTTATTAAAACATATCGAGCCATTTCTGTTTACGAGTTTCAAATATTGAGCTTTTCTATTGGCGATGTAGCATTAGTTTACAAACATCCAGAGCAAATTTCAATGCTTATCCTGATGGGTATACTAAAAGTCGATTCTGTTCTATTCCTAAAAGAATGAACAGTAATTTTAAGTTTTCTATCCTGAGCTAGTATATAGTCAACCATCTTTTCAATCACTATCCACTTACATTATTATCATCCTTAAATACTAAGTTATTCAATTGGTGAGTTACCACTTACCACTCACTTCCTTAGCAAAACTTGTTAACTAGCGAAAATGAAAAAAATGAATAATTTCTCTCACTCAATAGTACATTTCCCTACTGTATATATTTTAAATAATTTGTAGTTATCCTGAGCTTTCTTAAAATATTTAAATATTGGTACTTAAAATACAGATATAAATTCTTAATCCGTTTAATTCAATATTTGAATAAAGTAGCTTATAGACTTCTCAATAATTAAAATCAATAAGGAGTCTAGTCTGACAATAAAGCAAATATTACAATGTATTATTCTTAGAAGAAAAAATTAAGGAACATTTTCTTCCTGTTCAGTATGGCTGCCTTAGAATCTGAATCTCGATTTAGAATCAACGATGGAATATTTATATTTTCATGAATGGTGTCGTATTTTAAGTATGCCGCCTAAAATCCTTAAGAAATTTAACCATGCAAGTGACAAGAACAAATATTGAGCCTTGGGTACGTGAAACGAAATGCCGTGCATCACCTTTTCGTTAGGTGTGAAAGGAGGAAGTAACGACATGGTCAACGCACACGGAATTTCACGGATAAGTATCCACGCTTCTTCCAGGAAACCATTGTAAGCCCTTTAAAGCATGTTTCAACATATTCGGGAAGATATTGTCATTTATTCTAAAGAATGGCAGCAAATAGATTATATTATAGACGGCGAAGATGTGTTTTCAAATTGTTTCAATAACGTATGGAATCTGGGAATCTTAAATATCAAGCTCTATGGCAAATTCATGCGTACCTATGTAAGTATCTACAGCATTGTTATAAAATTCAATATTGACTTGCTTAGGAAGGTTAACTTATTAATTTACATTTTATTTTTCAACTTGAAAATTCCATTTTGTCCATGAACATTTATATGTGTAAATTATATACGCAATATTTATAAAGTATATACATAATTGAAACCGACAATTGCCATATTTTACATTTCGGAGACAATGCGTGAAAATAAATGAGAATTATGTTAATAATGAAAAAATGTTTGCATCGAATTAGTATTGTACAAATATAGTTGAAATCTTTAAATTTATCAAACATGTATTTTATTGGTACAACGTGTGGTAAAATTCCCGGAGTGAACGATTCTGCTCGTGATGTGGATTTTACTCCTGTGTTTGATGCACGCTGCGCTATATAATTGAAATGATCAATCAAACACCTGTGTAAAGAAGGGTCTACTAGCGCGTGCACAAATTGCTGTGGAACGCTTTCATAGACGGAGAATTTATTGATGCCACAGAGCCTTGCTGGAAACAGCCTCACTAAAATCAGCTTCGTCGCTGTCGTTCGGTATTAAAAATATATGTAGAATTCAAATTTATGTATAATTTACGGTGTGCCGTTCAATATCGCGCAAAATCCTGTTTTAAATAAACAAGGAAAACCGTTTCAATTACATGGTTCGATAATTTTATTTTGAAATAAAAAGATACACGAAGCGTACAATAAAAATGAAATTCTACATATCATAATTGAAAAATATAATATGTCGTCGATAACAGAGTTCTTCGGATATTTATATTCTTTCTTTTAATGAAACAATGAGTTTTTATTATACGATACACATATGTTCATTGTTCTGTGTTCGTAAAACAATTTTGAAAATAATCGCCCTGCTAATAAGGTGTACTTACGTTTCGTACTTCTAAGGAAATGAAATTATTAATTGATCTACCGAAGGAAAGATCTATTTAGAATATAAATGGAAGATTAAAGAGATTGCGAGAATTCTGAAAACTGAGCGATTAATTTTCAGTATGCTCCGCGTATAACTGGTTGCTATTGGTACGGGCGCAGATATAGCCACTCTCGTGAGATATTAGACAGGTGAGCGAGTTCCCAGGGGAACAAAGCCCCCATTACCTCATCTCGCCAAACCCATCCCCATCCCCATCCCCATCCATCCCGACAAACCCTCCGTCCCTAAAACATTCATAAGAGCAGTGTAAGTGGTTTTTAATAAAGGTATTTAATCATAGGTGTCGGATTACGTGTAAATCGCCTGGTAGTGTCATCAACTGGTACAGGATTAGTCACGCCTCCAAACATATACACAGGAAATTGAGTTCGTTTGTATGTGGGCGATTTGTTTCGATCGTTTGTTAACTATGAAATGAACGAAAAAAGAAATTTTAAAAGAGACACAATGGCTATTACATACTGGCCCTGGTCGTTGTACCGATTTTAGCCATCTTGACACCATGCCCTAAGATTTCTTTCTGACCTGTGATGGGTCCAACTACTTTGTTATTAATAATTTATTGAAAATAAGAGAAAATTTCAGTCTTATTCTATGTCAACGTGTGTTGTAAGGTATAATCATTGATAATAGAGGAATAATAGTAATTTGCATTCAAACAAATTGATTAATATTTATGTTTGTTAAATTACATTTGAAATTTTCACCACAAATTTGACACGATATTGCAGAAGAAATTGTTTTACAGTAAAACAGTACTTTGTGCAAGACGTGTGCGAAACATCGTTGTAATAGACGTTAAGAATACATTATATTTGTAATTTTTATATTTACCAATAAAAATGTATGAATATATGAAATTATTAAATTTTTTGAAAATATATAGTGATGAAAAATAGTAACAGTTTTTAAAAATTTTCTTTCCTGATTTCTTGATTGTAAGACATTTCGGACACTATATTATTTACTTAATTCACATTACAACTAAATGTTCTTGCCATAGAAGTCTAGGATCTTCTTCACTCTGCAATATTCATTTCAATTACAAATCATTTTATTTTTCTTTCGTGCACATATTTCTCAAAAAGCGTATATTATTTTAATATAGTAAAAATTTGGAAATGTACATACACGTATAACAGTCACGCCCTATATTTGAAAATAAATTGTGTACTTTTTCTATTTCCACTGAAACGTATTAATTGCAAGTATTTTTCTTCGTGCGACGCTATTATTCATTTTGTAGGTGAAGCTTTGTTAACGCTGCTCAAGCACGTATACAGTTAAAGTAATTATTTCTAGTAGTTGGACATCTTGTTACAAGACCGTGTCTCCGTTTTGTCCTCTCAGTCTCTAGCGTGCCACCGTCCGTTATGATAAAACTTCGTTTCTATGTAGCACCATGTTGGCGTCCTTAAAAATGAGTTTCGTAGAACGAATTCAACGTATCGTGTTTCTCAGTTTAATTTCATCGATGGTTTGTGCAATCGTTGGGCAACAGTGCTTCGACGATGGCAATGAATTTTGTATCGACGAAAACGACATATTATCGGTGGATCTCCTGCCTGGATCATTCTTGTTTCCAGATCAGCAAGCGGCGAAAAATACATCAACTGCCTCCGAAGATAAAGTTGTCGATGGATCTATTAACGACGCATTAAGTAACATGGGTTATCACAGGTAAATTAGCGATAAATCGTTTTTGTCGATGTAACACGGGTTTGTTGTTCGTGATTTATTATAGGAAAAAGATGAATGAATATTTATGTCACGGTTACATGGCTACGGAAATTGTGAAGTTGATGAGTACACCCAGAGTTAAAAGGCGACTCGGCAGTTCAGATAATAATGAATTTCGTAACTTAGCGGATGATGATAATGTCACTGTTCATGACAAACTCCTGGCAGATGAAGGAAGCTTGAAATACAAAAATTGGCTACAACGGTAAATATTCCATGTTTTCAGTGGAAAATGAAATAATCCATTTTCTATTTGGTGTATTCATTTAGGGTGCCTAATACTTTTATTAAAAGATTTATTCCTGCGGAATTAAGGAAAGAACGCGTCACATTTTAGTAACATTCGTTACTACTCTGTAGTATTTCACATTATTTTTATTAAATATCAAACCGGAGAGACTATGAATCGCTAGATCTCATCTTTAGCGGCTGAAAATATTTTCACTTCGAAACCTGCATCAACGATCTTTAATTCTATCGTTGTTTAACATAGCCCTTTTCTAATTTATTTGAAAACATTCGAAGGGCACTGACATTTCATTCGTATACAGTATAATTCTAATATTACAAATAAATGTTATAAGAACTGGCAACATACATAGCGATTGAAGTAAAATCGAATATCTAGTGTGCCACAATGTAGAGCTACAAGAGATTAAAACTTAGTGATACTAATCATAAAAAGTAATGATAAACTATTAAATTTTGCTTAATATTTACTGTCAGTAATAAATAGTACAGAAAAACATTTGTCATAGAACAAATATTTGTTCATGTAGTAGGACGACGTTGGATGATGTGTATCGACATTACATACCACGTAAGAAAATGAGTACAATGCAAGGATCTAAGGATGATAACCTCGAAGAATTTGATGGTGAAGTTACGGGTTATGCGATGCAGGCGCCATTGCCATCTGGCAAAGTAGGCTACTACGAGGAGCCAAGTGAAGACGATGGTAAAAATGCACTTGAAATTGATTTTATATTAACCAATTAACTGCGTTCGACGAGTACACGCTTCATTTTTTGATTTTACTCCGCGCAAGACGAGAGATTTTTGAAACTAAACTCCACAGTTCACAGGTTAATACAGACGTCAACACAAGTCAACAAATTGTTTTTTATATTAATGATATTAACACATAGCTTAAGACAATGGATTATTTATTATTCATTTATTGGACAGATCACATGATTTCGTCCTCTTCTGGACACAATATTTATTATGGTCACTCTTATGGTCACGGAAACGAACCGTACCTACACCACAGCGAAGTTTATCCCGCTATACACGAAGAACATTATTATCCAACAACTCATTATCATGAACACGAGGAAGAGTATCACAAACCATATTATTATAAAGGGAAAGGAGGCGATCTTTCAGTAAAGGATTTCTTTGAAATTGCGCTTACTGCTTTAGCGTTTCTAGCGTTCGGATTATTTCTTATCCAATTGTTGATGAACGCTATGGTAAAATATACAATATGGCTTCGTTCGATTGTCGATAGGTCTAAGTAAATTATTATTTTATAATCTCTAATTTATTGTTTTTTAGAACTCTATGAATACGACTATGCCTACAGTAGTAACAACCGCTAGACGCTCTAAGAGAAATATCGCGGGTTTACCGTTATATTATAAGAGCAACGAGGAATTGAATGAATTATCTTACAGCGTTCTGAGATCAATTGAAGGCGCTCTTGTCGCTGATTTCGATTCTGGTAACTGTCTTCGCAGAATTTTATGCGAGAACAATCATCACTCTACACAAACCAAGGATGCTCGTAAAATTTGGGTTCCTGTTTGGAGGTAAATCATTACAGAATCAGTATGAATAAATTCAATTTTTGGTAATGCGAAAAAATACTAACGCGCAATTTTATACAAGAATATAAGATTGTTACGTTAAGTTCGACGAGTCGCCAGTAATCCTCAATCCTTTCATGCATATAGATACTATTTACAAAGAGAATAAAACAATAATTTCTTTCGTCCTCAATGCGTTAATTTCAGTGATCTTTAATACCAATTTTATTGATATAATTATCTTATATAATTCCTACAACGTGAATCTTGTGAATTTTGTTTAAAATTTGATTGCGTGCTTTCTGTTATTCTTATCATTTTATAACATGCTTACAACATGTAACATTTATTAGTAAACTTCATTGTAAAAATTCTCATTATTCGCCATACTTAGTAAAAGAGGTATATCGAAATGTATTCACTTCAGTTACTTTAAACTGTATAAAAATATAGACAAATATAATAACTGAGAATGATTTACTTTTAGCTTAGGAATGAGTTGGGCGTCTGGCAGAGTAATGAAAGGATCGCCGTGGTCGTCAATGTTGGATTCTCTAAAAGCCTCTATCCTGGGTTTGGGCAGAGTAGACTGTGCTTCCTTGTATCCTGATTGCAATCTTAAGAGGGAAAAGATTAAAAGGATTCGAAGACGCCGAAGATAATTCATCACTACTTTTTCACAAAATTGTTCAGTTCTTACAGTACTTATTACTCTTAGAACAGTTACTCAATTTTTAAATACTTATTAGTATTCACAAAGCTTTTTGACTTCACCTTGCTTCAATATTTGCTGCTTGTAATGTATCTAGATCTCAAACAGAATATATAACACAATATCTGTAATATGAATATGGTTTTAAATATTCAGTTAGAAGTTAAAATAAAGGAAGAAAAATCTTTTCATTGTAACATATATATACTTTATTAACAACGGTTGTTATAAAAGGACTAAATATTTGTATTAATAGTATCATTTTTACTTTGGACAGTTCCTTCTGGTTTAATGGATGGCAAATCTCGCGGAAGCGGTAAAAGCGAGGCATATGTTGAACCCGAGGGGCAAACGTGGAAAATACTCCTCCCTCCTCTTTCTTTCACTTCGCGTACGTTCGATAATATAGGCACGTTTTTTTCATTCAGTAACGTTCGAAATGGTGCAACCTTTACGTGAAAATATCGTACCTTAAATTTCGTGTGCACTGTAACTCATACAATTGTCAAAATTATAGTCCGTTTTTCGCAGTAATTTGACAAATTTTTGTAGGATTTTGTAATTTTTCTAACTATGCAATTCATTAAGAAACAGAACAAGGAATGTTTATAACGTAATGTAAATCATTTCAGAACCTCAGTTAATAAAGATACTTCTTCAGAATATGTACCTAGTATCTCCTAAGTTAATCATTCTTCGAACATTTAAATCCGACATATTCTTAAAAGAATTTGGATGAAACATTCTGGATTATTTTTTAATTACAAGTCTCTGAAAAGTGAACTATTTATAACTTTGAATTGAATGAAGATTTATTGTAAAGGTTTAATTCATATATTAAACAGAGCAAAATATAACTCTTAATAATAATATTATTATTAGTTTTCACATACTGTCGTCGAAAATTTAGTTATCATTAGTAAAGGAAATCTTTAAGAAGTCTTCACAAAAATAAACTATTAATGTAAAAATAAATGTGTATATTTAATTAAAAAGTATACAAATAAATATTTATATTATTAACTTATTCACTAAAAAGAAACATCTTCATCGCGATTTCTTTTTTATGTTCGTTTAATAATACACTTTTTGTCAGGGTTAGTAATGTTAATTTATAATCATATGAACTTACTTGCTCAACAGATACTCCTATCGGTTCTCTGTTTATTATCCAAAGAATTTTGGATTCGCTAGTTTGTACTCTCATAGATCCCCAATATAAAAAGTAATCTTGATTGAACGGTCTTACAATATTCGTCAACTTGCTGGGCATAATGCGAACCGAGGAATTTGCGACTTGGATAACAGACAAATGTTTCAGAATATCATGTATAAATTGATTTGGTTCGTTGCGCAACTAAACACGTAAAAATTGTACAGTTGCACTGTTCATTTAACTTGCATTGCTTATTTGCACTCGAAACTATTACCTTAAAAAAATATACTACAACAATGATGCCATCAATCCGTCGAAGTGCTAAATCAAACTTTTCGTAGTCACTCTTGAAGAATACTACATGAAGTTCCATAGGCATACTGTAAATGGAATAAAATTAAGCGAAATTATTTTGAAAGAAAATTAACCTTAATCAACTGTTGTACTATCTATCTTTCTAACTTAAAGTCAAAATGCTTCTAAAATATAGACATTATTTTAACTACTTTAGTTTCCACAATAAACATCTTCGTTAATAAATTTAATTTAGATAAAACAGTAATCGGATGAAGGAGGATAGAAATGTTAAACAATCGATTACTTTATATCGTTGTACGTATGTTATACGAAATATAGACATTTACACCTTTTATAATTCATATAAGTAATTGTCAAGGAAAAGATAACATATGTTCACATTTCATAAATATTCATATATTTACTATACTAATATTAAAATACTTTACGTCCGAAATTTCTCTAAATTAATAATCAACGAATTTTATGTTTAAAGAGATCATTTCTAACGAATTTTTGTATTCATAAATAAACTTCTGAAGGTATTATTTCGTATAAACGGCCACAGGCTATTTCCGATAATTATAAAAATATTTGAGAATTGAGAATTCTCTTCCAGCGGCAATTAAAAAAATTATTGCTGCGTAGATTATACATAGTTTAAAAAATAATAAAATATTACAACATATTTGAAACCTTGCACCGTCAATCGAGTGCTCGCTACCGTTCATCTCGTTCTCTCCCCAATGAAAATGCAGTTGAGAAAAAACATAGCTTCCTTTAAGTGGACCACCGGTAAGATAAGGTCGTTCTGTATCCCAGGTTGCACTAAGAATCACTGTTAAAAGTTAATGAGTTGCAGTAATCACTTAGGAACAATACGGCACAAAACAAGTGTGGTACCTGTGTGACCTGTATTAGTTATTTTTAGTTTCCTGGGAGTTACATCAATATTAACCCATTCTAAAGGTGTCAAGTTGATAACTTTCATAAAACTGATATCCAAATTTATTGGAGATTCCAAATTGCCGTCGGTAAAACCTAAGCCTTGAATGAGAATAGCGTTTTCTGTGTTCGGATCAAGTTCTAAAACATTATTTGTCAAATATATAATAACTAATACACATTGATGCTTGATATAAGATTTTTGCATACCTGTTTTATTCATCTTGTGTTACAAACGACTTCACGTTAAATTATATCAAAACTCGATCCTTTTTCAATTAATTGCAACTTCAGTTAGTATTACTCAGCTACCTATTTATCATACTTTTTTTTTACTAAATGTAATCATTTATTCCTATTAGATTTATTTACGATTCCTTACATATTTTTTACGAACTACTCTACTGTAGCAATGTTAACTCCGCAACAAATAATAAGTAAAATCATACATATATATATACTAAAAAAATTGCTACATTCATTAATAATTTCGAAAGTTTTTATTAGCGTTTAGTATTAATCGTGTAAATTATAAGTTTTCTTTCCCTCTCTTACTATCAACCCCATTTTAAAAATTGTAGCTGAATTATGTTTCAATTAAGCTTATTACCCGCGTGATGCGTTATATTAATGAACTCTAATTTAATAGGAAGATCTAGACAATGAGCTGCTAATAAAAGCAAATGAAACAGATGCTATACGAATCTTTGTTAGTATTTTTGTAAACGACATACTATAACGTCACCTATATTTAAATAAAAAAAAGTAATAACACAAAATTTCTGTTGAAATACTACTTACATTTGTATAAATATTAATATTATTTGCACTCATTATATATTAAAAGTTTTACGTAAATCGAAACATTTGCTAACAGCTAATTAAAATATGCGTATCGCGTTATAGTTCTTCATTCTTTTCATCACTTATATTATTCCCTCATTTTCTCCTGCAGTATGACTAGTATCTGAGACTACCTCTAAAAATTACAAAAACTAAATACAATTACATTCTAAGTAATCTCTGCACATGGATTACGCACGAAAAATCGGTAAATCTGACAAACCCAAGGAATGGAGAAAAGAAATGCCCACGTCTGTACTTACAAGTGACCCAACCTTCAAGAAGGATCGGCCTCACGCCGAAGATCCTCCATTGATCAATTGGAAGAAGTGGTTGGCAAACCGAAGAAAACAATACAAGCATATTAAATCCTCATCAGGTCGCCATCAAACCGATCAAATAATGAATGCCTGCGAAACCATTCGTCCGTTAATCGAAATGCGAAATTTAATGGACTATGCCAATTCCCCGGTTGTTTCCGACAGCGTTCGTGGAGGGCCAGAATTTTGGAAAACTCCGCAAGCACTGTCCAACCGAGGCGAACAATGTCTACCAGACGTTACAGTTACACCGAGCAAAAAGGAATTAAATGTACTTCCAGAATTGATGTACGTCGACTTGCCAGAGTTAATAGAAAAAGAAAAAGATCTCGTTAGTTTAAAATCCAAAGAACCATTGTGGAAAAGAAGTCAGTATCTGATGGATCGGAAAGCTCAGTTGTCGAAGGAAATTCAATCGTTAGTCCCGAAGGAACCGGAAACGAAGCACTTGGTGATTCAAGGTCGCGCTCCACAGCCGAAAACGAAACCCACGAGAATCCCAGTGATAACAGTTTCTAACGACTCTTTTAAAGAAGACGAAGAAGAGGCTGAGTGTGAACCGGAAGTTCTCCAAGAGCAGGCGGTAGTTCTAAGGATTCAAGACCGAGAAATAGTTTGGAAGAGACGTGTCTCTGAACGCGGAAAGGCCGATGCAATCTCGTGGAACGTAACATTCTCGTCGCAAGTGAATAGAAGGCAGGAGAAACAGATCGAATTGGAGAACAAAGGAAATCGTGTGATTATTTACGAATGGCGGGACGCGAGCTGTGTGCCAACGACGATACCCTTGAAAAGACGAGTAAGCCCGTTTTTCTTCAATAAAACCAAAGAAGTGATTCTACCCGGGCAAATTGTTCAATTAACATTTTGGTATCGACCTCGAGTGTCCGGTGTTTCTTCCGAACTTTGGAGATTCAAAACTGATCCCGAATTGTGTCCGTCGCCATTGTTGTTCCGTCTTTCCGGATGCTCGGACACCGCACCCGTGGACAGCAACATTCGTAATGACGTTGATGAATATTTGGATGGTTGTATTCGGGATTCAACGGTGAGAGATGTTATCAACGAAATTCTGGAAGACATGTATTCCGTTAAATCCTGCGAACCGTATTATGGTAGTCTGTTTTTGGAATCAGAGGTATTCTTAACGAAGAATCCACTGTGCTTTTATCATCCGAGTGTTGTAACCGAATTTCATAAGTTATATTACGCCGCTACGAAGCCAAAGAACCAACGTTGGAACATGTGTATAGAGGATCTCCGTGAGATTTTGTTGAAAATCAATCAGCCGGATCGTAGACGAGATATGCTGTCAGAATTTAGTCGGCTTTACAAGGAATGTCTGAAACCTACTTTACGCATACCTGATCCTTACACCAAGCACGAGATGGTGTACAATTTGTTTTGTTCCTTCTTCAATCGGTTCGAGGTCGAAAGTGAGTACGCTAAGCGCGCTTGTTTCGCAAAAGAGGACAAAGTAGATGTCACAGTGTCGGAAGTGGTTAATATAAAACCGACAACGTCGCAAGTAACAATTAAGAGTAACAGTACACGAAATAAACGGAGCAGGAGGTCGACTGCTTCCGCTCAGAGTATTCAAGTTCAAGAAGCTATTAAAAAATCTTCTCTTGTAATTAACACTCGACCATATAAAGAAGTATTTTTCATTCGCGTCCGTGAACAGTTAGAAGTAACATTGAAACAAATAATTGCAACGATCGATTCGTTTAATAATCTGAATCAGTCTGACAAGTAAACAGTTAGAGACCAGTTAAACACAGTTATGTAGAATTTAATGCAAAACTAAATGTATTCATTTAATGATACAAATACAGTGGCTTTTCATTGTTAGTGTCTTTTCCAATTCTTTTCAATCCTTTTTTTATTCAATCTATTCAACCAAACAACGAATAGATTACATTTTAAAACTAACGATTGAAACTTGTTCTTTTACTTCAATGTGACCGACCCAATAAACATGTTTAAAAAATACCACCTTTTAACAGTAATAACAACTTTTTAGTATGCTATTGTATATAATTTTCAGAATTGTGAATGTTAGAAAGATTTTAGTACCTTATGTTAGTAAATAATCAATATTTGTTTTTCTGTCTGCGTAGGCAACTTAAAACGTCAACTACTTCTACAAGACTGTTGTAAATAATTGTTCATTTTGCAAAATATAATAAGTAGAAAAAAATACTAATCAAAGAGAAGTTACGAAACGAATTGTAAGGGTAATTAATATACGGCGGAATGTGATACTCTGTCTTTTATGGAAAACTACTATTAAATGACAAATCTAATTTTTAATTTAATTTTTCTAAATGTTGCCATGCTATTATTAATCATCCCTCTATGTTAACGCACATTACAATGTACTAAAAATTTAATTATTTTATTTCCTTTTAATAAATCCAAATTTAAAAAAAAGTATATTAAATAAAATCGAAATAAATATATTTTTACTGTTAACACAAATACAATATAATCGGTGTTATATTTACCCATGATACGTACAAAATTATTGACAAAATCCGAGTCGACAATATTAATTGAATTATATCAGCTTAAGACACAGCTAAATATATCTTTCTGCATTTTAAGGGTTGTATATCCCGCCGATTCGACTTTATACACTGTCCATCCTTGTTCCGTAATTTCCGAAATTCGTCCAACTGTAGGTTTTTTAGTCGTTGAGACAATAAAAACTTATTACGTCTGGTGAAACACTTACTTGGCTGGATTTTATTGGAATGACTACAGGAAACACGATCCACGTAACACACTCGCTGAAATCACCGATATTGTACGAACCTGGATACGTGTAATATCTGCTACAATAGGTTGCACTGCGCATAAAGGATAACGAATCTAGAACAAATGCGCACACTGTATTTGATGTATGTCTTATGAAATAAATATTATTTTATCAAGATTCTAATTTTACTAGTACATTTATAATTAATATTAAACACTGAAATATATTTAATACTTTACAGTGTAAATCTATAAAATTTATTTATTTGTATATTTATTGTTATTATATTAACACGTTTTCTGCCTAGCTGGTTTATGAGCTTACTGGGTGGTATTTTAACTTCTGAATCAGCCTCGACAACATACTTCAAATTCTCCGTTATCCTTTCCATTTGTGGATTAACACAAGCACAACAAGTAGGCTGCACCTTTCATAATGTTACGTGTTTGTACTTGTAACTGTCAATAAACTGAGTTGCAACTGAATGTAACAATAGTATGTACAGTAGAACATCGAATTTCCAATTTAATTGGGCGATCAACAGGAAAGTTTAATCGTATATGTCTTCAGATACAATTTAACCCTTTGAGTGCTGAACACTCCCAGCCGTAACGTTCCGTGTGGACGGAATATATTTTCGCTCATCTGAAGATCGATGAATTATGTTAATTCATACAATTAAGTAAGCTGTAGTTAAATTCAAATTATGGTTCCTCAGTTTCAGAGAATTCAATCATGCCAAGAAATGCGTATATTAATCGCATTCACTTATAATTATCACCGAAAAACGCATATATGCGTCCACACTCGAAGGGTTAAGAATCCGAATTATTGGATCGCAAGAAGTAAAGTAATCATTAAGTTAGTGGATAATTATCTAGTAAGACTCTAAACGATCTGTGACTCGATTAATCCAAGTTCTACTGTAAGTATCGTGAAAATATCATACTAAAAACAAATGCGCCAGGATGCACAAGCCATCTTTATGTCTCTGACATTCTTCGAACGATATGTACTTCCGATTCCAATGTACCGCATGACACTCCATCGAATACCTTGATAATATGACATTCGTGAGAAACGCAGAAATCGTTATTGCCGCACTAATTAGCTGTTTACCAAGTGCCATTGATTGTATGCTCAGCGCCCATGCAATTATCCTCCCCCCAGTGAAAATGAACTTCGTAGAATTCGTACACGTCGCTTGCCAATGGTCCACCGGAAACCGTAGATGGAATTCGATCTCCAGTTAAAATTACTTTCGCTAAATATTATAATAATACTTTTAGTAATCATATATAACCTCTTGTAATTGGTAACTCAATCGAAGCTGCGGTTTTTAACACTAAAACTGCCAGACAGCTCGAAATCACACATTCCTGATTTCTTCTATGACAATCATTGAAATAATACAGGCGTTTCTCACAGAAATTACTTAATACTTTGGCCTATGATTTCTTCCTCAACTGTGATAGATATGACTATTTTGTTGTTTATAATTTATTGTATAAAGAGAAAAGTTCTGGGTGTACTATATAGGTGTCATAGTTAAAATTTTAGGAACAATGTTCAATTTGAATTCGAGAGAATTCAATAATATTTATATTTGTTGACTTGTGTTTAAAATCTTCGCAACGAGTCTGACATTTTATTATAAGAAGAAATAAATATTACCTATGTGTCCAGTATTTATAAGGTGCGCTTCCCCGTCCTGCAACCAATGGCCGTTTAAAACAAGAGGAGGATATCTACGTGTCCGTGTTAGTCTATCGTCCAAGTCAATCGGAGATTGACCTGTCGTTGGTAAGCCTTGAGAGGTTGTTGAATAATATATAAGTATTTCATCTGTATCGCATAACCTAATTAAACGCTATAGATTTATTTTACCTATAGGACCGTTGTATTCCGACATTTTTACAATTTATATTGAATATTTATCGAAATGGAACGTGTAAATGCATACTTGAAACTTTATGTTTTCTCATAGGAAAACATAATGAAAAATTATCGCGTATATAAAATATTAGCAGGTTATATATCAATGTGACATTTGAGAAACAGATGAATAGTTGATTGCGTCATTCCTTGCGCTAATTTCAAGTAACTTTTAAAGAACTGTACTTATTTTTAACTGTAGAGCCCAACTATTTTTCATAGGCATGTTGTATAAAAGTGTATATATTTGTGTATATTTTTATAAAATGTTGCAAATTAGTCATGCACAGAAAGAAGAAAAATGTAATTTTGTCATGCAATAAAGCTGTCGCTGGCAAAGAAAATTTTTCTTCTGTGAAGACGTTGTTGTATTCTACCATTTTCTAATATATTTTGCAGTTTACCATCGTAGAGGCCTCTAAATGCATCTATCTGTAAAGAGAAGAAAGATTCAAATGAAATATGTTGGTAAAGTTTAAAACTAATATACTGTAAAAAGTATTCGGTAAAAAATACTTGACGAAGCGATATTTTTATCACGCTAGGTGAAATTATCCAAATAACGCATTCGTTGTACGGCGGTGTTGTGAGAGAACCGGAATAAACGTAATATCCCTGTGCCAAACACGCTTCCAACATCCAAAGCAGACAAGTCGCTAAATGTAGTTTCAAAATGTTATTAACTTTGAATACGATTTTAAATGTAAATTTGAAATTTCGAAAAAACCTTACTGAAAACTGTAATTATCATTCTATCAACCATTCATAACACAATTTATAAGTATTACAATGAACTTATTAACAAAAACATTGAAACCATTATTTAAACAGTATAATAAAATTTCATTTTTCGAATAATTAGAAACATTATAATAATTTCGTTACTTTTAAGAATTAATTTATTCGACTGAATGGGAAAATTCGCAACGAATAGATTCTATCAATGGGGGAACAATTATGTGTAGTAATAACATTAATACATTTCATGAAATAATTTTTAGAAAATATATTACTTGGCGGAATGTTAGTTCTGCTTCCCATTCTTTTAATCTTGCACAAGTTATCCGTAATAGGTGAAAGAGAAGGATTATCGGGCATTCCCGGGCAGCCGACAACCTATTCAAATATAAAAAGTGTTCGGTAACTCGTGGTACAACCGAGCGGAGCCAGTTTTTCGTGAAGAAGTTAATACCAAATATAAAATTCTTCGAGGATTCGTTTTCGAGAAACTTTAAATTATAAACAATGCTTCCCAACGCGGTGGTATTGAGCAAGCTCAGCGTGCAATAATAATAACGCGATTCAATCAAACGGTTTAATATTATATTTTTTCCATTTTGTGTATTTTGCTCTATGAAACGTGTTAATTACAGTTTATCTTAAAACTTTTCCTACTTGTATGAGATACGAGAGTATGGCAATTCCATCCGGTCGATCCAGACATCTTTCCATGCTTCCATAACGGGTATTCCAGTGTATTACCTGTGCTTCCATCGAATACCTATTACAAACGATTTAAATGGAATAATCAACGTTACTACTTATAAGTTAGTATAAGCAGTATTTTCTAACCAAATACCATCTATAGAATGTTCCGCGCCAAATGAATTTTCAGCACCCCAACGAAACTGCACATTTTTAAACTGAAATTCCTCTTTGGCCAGAGGACCACCTTTCATGGTAGGCAATATTTCATTTGAAAATTCAATCTTAACTGAAAATTATTTGATATAATACCAGGTCTTTTCCGCGTTGTATAATTTTATAGATTATGTGTTTGATATCGTTCAACATATTCATTAAACATAAGCATCAACTTTCATGATCGACGGAGTGTGATCATTGGACATTAATAAAATTTATTGTTATAGTCGAATGTTAATTATTGAGTCGATGAATTTTATTTTTACGATTAAGGTCGAACGCACTCTTTCATATTATTTATAATATAGACTTTATTATAGTACTTTCTAATACTTATTTGTTTATATAAAATATTCTAATTGATATTTGATTTGAATAAAAAAATTATTATCTTTGAGGAAATGATGGATGCTTCTGGAACAATTGACCATGGTTAGGTTCAAAGATTTTTATAACTCGAATATCGATGTAACTGTTGATATTATACAATATATAATACCTATATTATACATTTTATTGTGAATAAAATTTATTCGTTTTTATCAGCGCTTGTAATAAATTATATGTTGAAATAGGATTAATAAAAATGATTAAAATTAACTCGAATTATCCGATATCTAAATATATCCAGACGAATTAAAATATTTGCAAAGAACCTGTTTTGCCTGTGTTTGTCATTGTAGCTGAACCTTCATCAGGCCAATAGTTAGTTAAATATAAAGGTGGGAATTTTTTAAGCCAAGTAGCCGTTCTGCTTAAATTAATCGGCGATTGCTGCCATTTTGGTAATCCCGAAGATGACGTGCAAATAATTCCAGCAAGTTTCGAAACTTTTGCAACTATTCGAAATATAGAATTAACTAAATTATGGTGCAAGATATCGTTAATAAGAGAATAAAAAATAACTTACACATTTCTACTAACCTGATTTTTTACTTTTCTTGCTTATCTTTCTTTTCGTCGACGTCCTTTTTACTGCAACTTTTGCCACCGACATGTTTTTACTTAATTTTAAGAAATTTTCAAAGAACTGCAAGTACTTTTAACTCCATAGCCAAAATAGATGACAAAATTGGGTACTTTCTTGCTGTTTACATATTTGAAACTTCGCAACTAAGTTTGTCGCACATTATCAATCATTAATTTGTTTTATTAAACCTATCAAGTATCTTATTGATTTTGTCAGTAATAAAGAAAGTCTAACATGTTTTTAGTATCGCGTAAACATTTTATGAACTTTAGATCAAAATGAACTTTAGATCAATATAAATTTATGTTTATAATCATGCATCTTTGTTCAAAATTGTCTGGCATGTCTCGAGTATGTATAAAAATTTCCTCTGGCACTCAAAAGGTTAAATCTGCAATCTTCCGTTACTACTTACCGTATTTCCCGTCCGATGTCGCTCGGGTCGTTTCTAAGAAGTGACTCGTTCTGCTTTTTAAGAGCCCGATTTCAATCCACATTGAAAACGAACCGTTTGAATGGTAAAAACTCTCCTTCGTCTGGTTACGCCATCTGTGGCGAACTACTGAAGTTTGTATAAGTTTGTGTATACCATAGACACAGACTTAACCCTTTATAGGGCAAATTATTTTTTTGATGATAATTCGTATTCCCTACCGTATACATATTAGAAATACTTTAAAAAACAATTATTATTGAGAATCTTTTTCTGAAATTTTCCTAGATTCCTTGTTTTATGGTGGTACCTATTTGTGCCACCAACCGTTCCTGGAACACCATACGGATCAAAATGGTGAACAGAGTCCCTGTAATGTTTTGACCCGTAATAAAAGCGGCATCTATATGTGCCACCAAGCTATAAAGGGTTAAGAATCTCAAATAGTACCTAAACTTAGTGACCAAGCTGTGAAATTTATAGCATGAGATGTCCATATGATATTCAAAATAATATGCAACTTCCGAGAACCTGACAAACCCGATGGATCTGCAATTTTGCATATACATTCCTGTTAGATTGCCACAAATCGCTTTCGTAAACGTTTTTTCTAGCCAAAATAGAACTATCGGAACAATACCAGACTAATGAAACCATAATAGCATAAAAATGACGGAGAATGACACCAAAATGATAGAAAACTTTTTTTCCAAAAGTTCGCACTTTAACCTTTGCATAGTTAATAATCCTTCTAGCAAACTTTGTTTTTGTCTAGAAGAGACTTGTAAAAACGTGAGAAAAATGTAATCAGTTTCTATTCAGCATTGTCTGTCAATTATAGTTTTAAAAACATGATACATATTAAATTGGGCAATGCAATAAGTTGTTAACAACCGTGATGTTGCCTATTCGAAGTAAAAGAACCATACGCTGGTTTATTACAGACTATAATAATTTTTACTGTTTTTTTCAAACGAATATATCCTCTGCAAACATTATTGTAAGAAGACATTTAACGAGCTCGTAAACATTTTTATTTAGATGATATGTTCTTGAGAATCGTTTTCAAAACAATATTACTCTTTAGTTAGTAACATATATACTGCGAGTTCGAAATTATATAATATAATTTAGTACGTATAAAAATTTAATGTACTTCTTTATTATATATAATGAATGGATAATATTATATAGCTACACCTACACATTCATCTAGCGAGAAAAGTCAACATAATAACATGGTCCAAAATGTGCAATGTGAGAAATCGATCTCTGTAAAGTAGGTTAACAATACGGATAGCGATTATACAATACATACAGAACACCTGTATGCACTTTCACATTTTTAATTGGACTAATTTGTAATTACGAGCAATGAATTGATCTGAGGTCTTTTTGAAATTTTATAAAATTTGGTTAGACAAATATTTTGGAAGCCAAATAAGTGATAAAACTTTACCAGTATAATACGCGTTTATTTTACTGAAAGCATTAATCCTAATTTGCTTTTGTGAAAGTCAATCTGCAGAATACTATTATGTAGATTTTTAATATTTATCCAATAATTCTTGCACTTTTAAAAAACATTGTCCTTTCTCAAAAAACACGTGATATTACAAAAATAAAATGTTACATAAAAGCTAAAATAGGTACTTGAAAATTTCAAGTTTACAGTTGTTACATTTTATGGTGTCTAATGATTCTAAATGGTTATGAAAGTTTACAAAAATTGCTAACACGCATACTTCCTACTTATTACTTTTGAATTTTTACGAAAACTTCTTGATCTAACACGAATTTTTAAATATTGTTAAATAAGAAACCATTCAGTAAATGTATCAAAATTAGTTTGATTTGGAATAGGCCGAGGAAATAATTATTGGCGTCGCATACACGGTATATTGTCGCTAATGCAGCCATCGCTTGTTTGATTAAACTCGTTAGAATCGTAGCTCAGTGTAATACACTCACATTTAATTTTTTCCATGTATTCTTGGACTGCAAATACAGAATTATGAAGAATTTATAACGATCATTCTGAATCTTAAGCAATCGCAACATTCATTGCGAGAACATGTATTATTTGCTAATATAGCATTTTTAAAAGGCAAGTCTGCCAAACTAAGTTAAATAAAAAAACAATATATTTTTTTCAGTTACTAGTAGTTCTAGAGTAGTTAGAGTTGCTAGTAATAGTTTCTAATTCTAGTTATTGATCGTGTTCAGTGCACTTTATTTTACTTTCATATTTCATTTGATATAAAATATTTAAAATGTATGAAATGCATTTCTTAATTTACTTACATTTTTCAAAACTCCTCAGGAACTACGTGAACGAATAATTAAAATGACCTCTCAGCATTAATGGCGATTACGTACTTAACAAAATACGAAGGAGTTTTAGTTTATAACTGAATTTGAGCAATGTATACTCATTTAACGATTACTCAATGTGAAGCGTGCGAAACGAGAAAGTTACTCTATTAATCACTCTGTTTAAAACTCGAAACTGTTATTTCCTCCAAAATTTTGTAATTTCTGTGCTGCGTGCCAAAAGAAGAATCTCTATCTTTGTACAATCTGAGACTGATTCTCGATAAAATAACATCATATTGTTGTGCAACATATATAAATTACACTACGAATGTATATCACGTATCAAAATAACTTTGTAATATTGAAATCGTAATAGATTTCCTAAAAGCAGACGTTGAATTTCATTCGAAACACGAAACGTTTAGCACTGAGGCAAAATACTCGTCAGCTTGTTACAGAATTTTGAAATTTTACATATTCTCTTGTTCAAGTTTGTCATACTTCTAGGAAAGGCTTTTACAGGGAATGCGTCAACAAATTTTCGACGTTCGCGATACTTTCGTTGAGAAGCGTATTTAAAATTACCCGAATATTTCATTCCGGCACATTCGAATTCTTCCAAGAAAATTAGTTATGGCGAATCTAAAAAATGTCTGCCAGTCAAAATACCATTTATTTAAGTTCTAATATTTTGACGTATGTACTTTACCGGTAAAAGTGAGAAAACAGATTTATCCTTAAATCATATTGGCTTTCACACTCAATGATGAATCTTTTTCGAAGAAATCTTTTCCGTTGTTTTCTAAGGTAAAATCTGAGGGTGACAACGGTTTCGGTCTTTTCCGGTGTATGTACTCAGACTTTTTTCGGTTTGTCAAGTTAAATACAAGATATGGTAGCAGAAACAATAAGTATTCTTTCATGAGAAGTCATGTAGACAGTAAACTTTAAATTCCACGGGTGTTCGATGTATAAACTTCATTTTACATATGAGTCGTCTGATTTAACTACGTCAACAGATGACAAATTATACCTAAGGATTTGTCAACATAAGTAGAAGGGAAACATGTACAGCGAAATAAATTTTTCTTTCCCAATGTGTCTCCGAATATGCACATTTTCTTCTGCTGTTAAAATATTGTACAAATTACACACAAGTATCTACACATCAAAATCAGTATGTTATATAAAGATGAATAACAATATCACTATTAACATCCCATCATTACCTTAAATAATTCAATTTTGTTGTATCTTTCGAATTATTTCACATTAGATGACCCTCTTCACGGTTTCACTACCAGATATTGGATACTATGCATATATTGGATACTATGCATTATTAAATTCTATAAAGAATATACTATCGAATTTAAATTATATGAATTATATGAATTATATCAATTGTGCGCGTCCAAATAAAGATTTCGGTTCACTTATGTACTTATCTTGTTAAACGAACGGTACTTAACACATTGTTGACCGGCAATTTCACGCAGGAGCTATCCCACGTCGCTAGTTATTATTCTTTAATTAAATATGAAAGTGAGATAATCTAAATAAACTTCAATATACTTTATTTACACATAATGAATTGAAATAACACTTTGAACTCGTTTAAATAACTTTGAATACTCTGTTTTTGCAATGTTCCATATCGCTCTGCGTTTCAAAAATTGAAATAGCTGATGCAAACAAGAGTTGACTCTTGACCGGTCAACAATGTGTTAAGCTACAGATCGGTTATTCTTCTTAGCAAAATACATCATTTCACGACACCGCTAAGTTCTCCAACTAAATACGAAAAAAGGGAATCTAAATTCTATTTGAATATCTAAGATGAATCCTACCGCAGTTTAGTGTCCAAGGCACATTTGATGCATAGATATACGTATGTCTTTGCTTTGATGGACAGAGTGTACTCCCCTTTTCGTTCCGGTAAGCATAGAGAAGTATCAGAAGAAATCGTAACTGTGACCAACGCTTATTCCGGTCGAGAACAGCTGTCACGCTCGAGGCAGGTGGTAATTTACTTCGGGAAAAATCGGCATTTTGTTGAATCAGTGAAACGGCGAGTGAGGAGCAATTCACGCGTGTATTGCTTTCGATGCACCGTTAGACACGGCTAGCGGGCTAAGCGTACTGTTGTGTGCCGCGACCCTCGCCAAACGTGTTTCACGATCGGTACGGTCGACTATCAAAATTGATCCTTTAAGTGGGTCGACTCGCTCCGCGTTAGATTCATTCTAAAAGTATCCACACTTTCCCAGATGCAGGAGAAATATTAGCCAATCGTCTATGCAGAATTTTCTCCTTTCGATTCGCGATTCACGACACGAATGTCGTAAAAATATTTTCATGCCGACAACGAACAGTCTCGTTCGACAGTGTTTAACGCTGAAACTACGTGGGTCAATATAACCCATTCTTGATGTCTTCCTTTTGCAATTATTAAACAGATTACGGATGTTTCTCGGAGAAATTGTTAAAGAAATTGATTTAGGAAAATGAAAACCGAATTGTAAATCAATTAAAGTCTCAGTAGATGCAATCTTGGAGTTTCTACAGAGGAATTTCAAAAAGTTAATTCAACTGCTCTCTAATTTTAGTGTTAACGTTAGGTGTACCTAGCATGTCATACGATTAATACTTAATTCGTTTAAGTATTAATCATATGAAATACTAGGTACAGTATAATACAGTATAATACAACAAATACTAGGTATTACATATTTCATTCCTTAGAATATGTAGCATCATATTATAAGCAAATGTTTCGTTAACGATCTGCGTGAAAATTTGATTATTTTAATCTGCATTTGACAAGTTTCACGCAACAAATTCGAAGCGAATATTCACAGAAAATCTAACAAACACGGAGACAAGTAATTAACTTCTTCAAAATCTTACTTTCCTTTGTTTCATTTCTAATTTTAATTACACTACCTGTAACAAGATGACATGTATTATGATTTATACATTATGTGCGTATTTTCAAGTGAAGTTAACGTGGAAGAAGTTAACTTGACGTTTGCTTCAAGAATTTCACGATATATGATATATTAATAATAATATTAACTATATGTATATTATTATATATATAAATCTAGTTGGTATAAATTATAAGAGTAATTTAATAAATTATCATAAATGTTCATTTGTGCAGCTTAATCTTCTAATAAGAAATTAAAGAGGAGAATCTCGGTTTTCTAATCTGGTGTAAACATTTGCGTGGAATCGGGTTAAAACATTCGCGACCTATAATCGTATAAGACAAAATAATCGAATACCATATATTTACTTTCTAATTTGAAACGGTCTTTGTTAAATGAATTCTATTAAAAATTCGCATATATGAAACACAAGTTCGATATCTTTTTTCACTAATTATATTATTGCCTTTTAACAGAAAAGTAATTTCGCCTACTTAATTAAACGATGAGAAACATTCGTGTACTTTTTTATGAAACCAGATTTATAAAAATTGTTTGAAATTTATTCTTTTTATGATAGCTCTGAATTTTAATCTATTAAATTTACAGAGTATCTGAAATAGATTCAAAAAACGATAATATAATAGAAATATATTTTGACACATTGTCATAGCTCGATAGCGATATTTAGCCCTCTATATTTGTGGAACATGATACAGAATACTGATATCAATTAACGTCCTTGAACGATTTAATCAAATATCCGAATTAACCGAAATGAAACCAAAAGAATCATGGAAAGTAAAAATTAATGGAAATTTATTCAGGTCGTTCAGATTTATTCATAAAAGTGGAAATTAATGTATCTATGAATACCAGTTGATTTACTTATCTTACACTGTCTGTAACTTTTCAGTTAAATTTTCAAGGTATCTGGAACTACAAGCACCAGTTTGAAAGTGCAACAAGAACTAGTATTCCAAGTGGTCAGAACCAGTGAAATAGTTTATTTTACCGCTATATTCCTATTCCTCTAATATTTCACTATATATTCACATTATTTCTCACAACAACTACAACTCCGAACGTCTCCATTTTCCAACAATCCTCTTACCCAACGGCGAGTCGTATTTGAAAAATACACAATATAATCCACCTTTTTCCATAGCGCAATCTTAAAAATAGCGAATCAAAACTATGAAAAAAGACGTTCGAAGCAGCTGCAAATGGCGCGTCTGTCCGCCAAAGGCAAGAAGCAATTGGAACACAATGGAAACCAGGTTTTGTCCGAGCCGGTGGAATTTCCACCCGATATCGGTGTACCTTGATAGTACACTTAGTCAGCAGAGTTGAACGACAGAAGTCATTCATTTTTTTGAAGGAGAGGCCGGCGTGAGACGAGGAGGTTCGACGGCGAGACGTTCCTGAGGACGTACGTTTACCCGTGTCCCTACCACTTTCTTCAGCCGGCTGGTGGGCACTGCGTTCTCGTTACCGTGGTCCACGCTGCACTACCGTTCTACTATCTCCTCATTCACTTGCTGATTCGACAAGACCGAAGAACACGCGCGGGATCTGGAGACTCACCTTCGAGCCCGGTCAGTTGAGCTTTCGGGAACGAGCGGACATCCGTTCGGTCGTCACCCGTTGCCTATGGTGCGCGAATTTCGATACTAGACAGGCTAAGTTTTCACTGACTCCGACTGTTTATTCGTATCGAATTCAGTCGGTCGCCCGATAAATCGTACTCCACGAACGATTCCTTCGAATTCTCTTCGGGAAGAATAACAACGACGAACAACAGCCGAGAGAATTGTCGAGTTACGAGGAAATTCGAGAGGGAATCGAGGGATTCGTCGGTCTTATCGAAACGTCGTTAGGATCTGTCGATTGAGTGACATTTCATCATTGACCGTAATTCACCGAGTTGATCGACGATTTGAAAAACCGTGAAAATTGTTTGCTTTGGTGTTGACTGCTGGAAGGAAAGCACGCAAGGATCGATAGTTGGTGCGATCTCTTATCAGCATGGACAGTGATTAACCGTCTGCCGGAAAGGAACAGATTAATCGCGGTCAGCGAGCTTTCTTTCAACCTGGAAAGAAGTTGTCGAAGAAGAGATACGTATGTCAGAAGAATACTGCTGGACAAGGGAAATAACAATCGTATTCTAATTGCGAACGACCGATGAAACGTGCGTGTAGCACCTTGCTGATATAGAAACTTGTCCCGCGTGCTTTTCTTTCTTCCATTCGCTGGACACCACGAAACTGTTGTGCGTTATATAAAGACGGATTTTACTGGTCAGTTAATGAACCCGGCTGTGCGAGCATATCGGCTGCGTCTGTCAGCGACCTTATGTAAGTAAATTTGAATAATTTCTTATTTGAAAACGCTCAGGAATGTGGACGTTGTGTCAGCTAGGTCGAGGAACACGATCACGCGGGAAAAACTGTTCTGGACGACAATTTGACAGATATTAATCTTTCAACCTATGATTTCTGGATTCTCGGATTTTTTTATGGTTATTCTGTGTTTACGTTTACTATAAAAGTTACGGATTAATTGGACAAGCAGTATTTCATTTATATTAAGAATAAACGAGTGACAGTTAGACTTGTCAAATTCGATTATAAATTTTCGTGACCAGTCGGACACGGTATTATAGAAGCAGGGGTTAAATTTTATGAAGATTGTTTAGTAAAAGATTAAGTTGATTCTGATCTATCTCAATTTTCCGGTTTTGAGGGTGTATTTTCCAAAATCAATGTGGATATACTCATATTTTTCTGGAAACACCATAATGAAGTGTTCGCTAGACGTCCGTAAATCTAGTGTCAAGCGAGGCATGTATATGTCGAAAGAATTCCCTCTGGAAAATGAACAATAGAAAAATTTGTTGATACTGCTATCGTAAAGAAGTAATTAAGTGCTTTAGCTCTAGAGTTTGGGAACATTCGAAAAAGTGGAGCTAATCACTTTAACCTGTGAACGACTCAAATAACAATTGTGTCACGTTTCTTATCGTTGTGACGTATTGGCAACGGTGTCATTAATGCAGTGGCATCATTACTGTTGTAATAATGTCGAATAAGTGATTAAGCTCGTACGAAATCTTATTTCTATTTTTGGTACGTATCAATTAATCACAGATAATCAGATAAGACAATGATTCGTAATAAACTATGTTTAAATTTGTTTATAAACGTTAACGAATTAATGTGTGAACATCTAGATTTATAACTTAAAAATCAATTATTTCATTTATTTATAATCGTTATATATTTTTATTCTTACGCTGCATATGTTCTAACACTTTACAGAAAATATAGAAAACAATTTGATGCTATCGCATTTAATCAACTAAAAATCTTTTTTAAGTTCATAACTTATTTCGCCATTCTGAAATTTTCTACTTTCTCCTAAATGATGGAATAGAGTTATCATACAAAAAATAAGAGATAAAGGATAACGACAACAATATAAGATATACGATTCGACTGAAAATTGTGGGTAAATTGAATTGAAAAAATTAATTTTTGCGTTTAATATTTCTCTTCGCGACACTTCTCCTTTCTCATAGGCTAATCAGATGGAACTAATATTCAGGTATCCTGTAATACGTTAAAACACATGCATAATACATTAAAATATCCTTATTAAAAGTTGACACAGCAATAACTATTTTGAAGAATACACACATTAACAATGATTTGCATATTCTTTTGTTAAATGTCTTTTTCACTGTATTCACTTCTTACAGAGGTTATTAAAGAGATCAAATTTCTGCTACCATGGTGCTTCAGTGGTGGTTGTCTTTAATTGCTGACAAATGTGTACTTTGCCAGAGCATCTGACCTTACAGTTTTGTCAACAACGAGAACGTTTTGGTACGTTTCAACGAATCGAATCATTTCCTTGTGCCATTGTGTTGTTAAATATTCTGATATCAGCTTTAGGATCATTTCTTAAACGCTTATGATGGAATACAACGGAAAGCAGTAATCCCATCATATTCGAATATATCGTACAACAGTTTTAATTACAACATTAGTTTTCTATATCATTTTAGACGTTCGAATGCATTTGAATCTCAATGGGTAAATAATTTGGAAAATATTTTTCTTACAATTTCATTTTGTTTGTATTTATGGATAATTGTGCAATGACATAATAAACTGTAAAAAGGGGTATTTTTATCGAAGTTCCAATGCCAATGTCAAATATTTAAAACTTCACTTATAAGACTTCTACCATTTGACTTGTTCACACGTCGAATGCCATGGAGGTTACCGGTGACCTCCAGCCGAATCCAATTACTATAGTTCACACAATTAAACGATAGTTATTTGAAAAAATTTCTATATTATAAATAATTCTACCTAACGCGGTGACATTCAGCTCGACGAACCTGCAATAATCGTAATGTAATTCAATCGAATGATTCGATATTATATTTTCTCCATTTCGTGTATTTTTCTCGATGACATTGTGCGACATTCAACGTGTTCGTTATATTTTTACAATGTTCCCAAATGTTAGTGTTAATATGTTTAATTAGTTCTTTAATCAAGTAATTTCGTTACATCGATCTACCTGTGCGTTTTAAGGAGTTAGTCGGTTGAACGAATGAATGATTCGTTTATCAGTAAAGTGCACTTCTCGAACAACAGGTTCATAATAAAAGCAAACACGTCGAAAAAATTTGAAGGATGAGGTAACGGCACGACTTAACGGGTTTCGCGGTTAGCGAAGGAAATTCATCTTCAGTGTCAAAGTTTCGGCGACCCTAGTGAAGTAGCTGGTCATCGCGTATAATGTATGTCAAGTTATACTGGAACTGACGGATTCTGATAAGACTAATAGGTACAGGAATGGGCACAGGAATTTAAATAGGAAATGAAAGAAAGTGGTCTACGAGACTTTTGGTGATTTGAAAATCTTAAATAGAATCTAAATAAAGTTCTAGTAGAAATAAGTATGGAATAAGGTTTCTCGATAGAAACGTGATCGAATCTTTCTAAAATCTGAAACCGTGTATGAATTCTTAAGTCAAAGATCTCAATGAATTTGTCTTACGTCGATATAAATTATGATCTTTCAAGACTTTAATGTTACAAATTAGAGGCAGATCGGATACAGGGCCATAGAATATTTTTTTTCTGTATCAGTTTGAAACTTATATTAGTGGCAGAATTATAATCGAAGAAGTTATATGTACTTATAATATTATTAATAGTTACAATAAATACGTATAATCCATGTAATATTAAATAATATTATATCTATTTTAATAAATATTTAATTATAATAAATATAATAAATATAATTCGCACAATTTTATAACATTCCTTTTGAAATATATTTAAACAACTATTTACACATTACTATGCGTAACATTTATATTATAATAAATAATTTATTATTTTTAAAAGTAAGCCGTTAGATATTCAATACATATATGTATATAACTACTATACCATACGAGAATATATGTATATGTAGATCAAAGTACTTACTCTATGGGATGACCATAGATAGACGGAAATGGAATAAAAAAAATATATTTATAGCATTCTGTTTGAAATACATTCAAGAAGATGTATATTTTACATATTGAACTCTTCGAGATGATGCTACGCGGCTTAGAGTCGGCTCAAGATTCTCGCAACGGTGCATCTGCATCTGTACTGAACTGGTTTCTTCTGCAGTGCAGTCTTGCAATACTTCCGCAAAGGTGGATCGGTTGACGATATTTCTTTTCCTAGGCGTCTTATGACTCGATCGTATCCGATAACATGCATTTTCGTGAACCGTGTGCAGAGTACTTTCAAGTAAGAATCGGTTACTAGGTCATTTGGGACAGGTGACTGTAATACAGCCCATAAGTTCACGTTCTATCGGTATGCCCGAGATCGTCATATTTCCTACGGTCATCTCGAAGTTATTAACTCGTCGATTGCCGAATGGGAACTAATAAAAGTCTCGTAAAACCGGAATAATTTATTCGATGAAATCGAAAATAAATCGTTGCGATCTATCACAGCTGTTACTTTCTTAATATTGTAAAATCTTACAGATTTTAATCCTTATCCCCATATAAGCGACATGCCACTTTTACTTGCTGAGTCCAATGCCAGGCAAAAATTATTTTATTACTTTTATCATTGTTATTGTTGTAATATTTACGATTAACACGTTAAGTACTTGAAATACTTCCGCGAAAGGTTGATTGATTTTGGTTCATTCAATGAATCTTAGTGAAAATCAATTACTGATTTTATATGCCTGTTTCGCCGTCAAAGGATGCAACAAACTGCATGAAATATTTCCTTCCATTTCTTTTTAGCAATGAACTGTTAAATTATCAAGTCTAATTGAAACGTAAACTGGTAAAGCTGTTATTAAGAAGTTATTAAATTTAATTGAGAAATGTTATTGATGGGTAACAGTCCCATTTGACTTACCTTTGCATCGTTTGACTTATTTCTTATCGTTATCCATACTCGTGGATTAAGTACCACAGGGTAAAAACACGACATCGATGCCGCTCGCCTACTAATAATCGGTAATAAAGTATTTCAAACAAGCAAAATATTTCTGTCTTATTCCATAATGGAGTCGAATGAAAAATTGATTCTCTTACTGCGAAGTAATGAGTTTAAATGTTGAAACGCATATTCAAGACATCACCGTGCACTGACAATCGTTTGACCGTTGCACTCTTAATTTTCAATTTTATAATTAAAGGTAATTATATTAATGCGACTCGTATTTTATACCATGTATTGTATAAACTTGTTGACAAAGCAACGGGGATAATCTATTTCCGATAATACAGTGAGATAAAAAGGACAGGGAAGAATCGATAAATAGAAAAGAGCGATTTAATTTTAAAGAATTATACCTAAAACGAGTTAAAAGATTGATTGCTATCGCTTTTAGAGGAATCGATATTTGTTCGTTTGGATTTTAGAAACTGGAGGTTTAAAGATAGAATTCGAACATTTACCAAATAATGTTTATAAAAGTCAATATCAGCCAAATTGGCTCGTTCCGTGAATCTAGTGTTAAGAAGGTAGGTTTTCTGGGAAATTTCTAAAATAAACGTGTTTTCATGAGATTCATGTCATTCGTTCAGGAACTGAATTTCGTATAGCGAGATTTTCACACCACGCTACTATTACGTGTCACACACAAGAGGTCACAAGATACAACCTTTCACCTTACCGAATACCATAAAGTTCAAGTAAAATTTCCTCGCGATTAAACGCTGCGCGCATACTTTTCCAGTATGATGCGAAACTTTTGCAGTATTGTCTTTCTACGAATATAAAGAGAACAGTTTTATACTTTAATA